CACAGAGAGTTGCGCTTGATGCGCCGAAAACTTTGCGACGTATAAAAGAAATATCATCCACTCTATGACCGCGATCGGTTTTAAATATTTCATTGGAGTTTCCTAAAATGCCTTTACGCCAATTGTTTAAATATTTTTAGTAAAATAATAAACGACCGATACAAATGGTTATTTGGCTCTCACAACTTCTAGATCTGTGTTTCTCAAGAGAGACAAATTGCACAACAACATTGTCATGTAATGTAGGCCAACATTTATGTAAAAAACATTGTTTTTGTTGCTTTATTTGTATTCTGATTAACAGATAATAATAAATTCCTCTCTTTATTCAAGACCTAGTCGATAGCGCGAATATTTTTTTTGTGACCTTTTGTCGATAGCTAGAAATCTCTCCTACACGTTTTAAATAATTAATCTAAAAGGTGTGAGAGATGAAAACGTGTTTTTTAAGTTAATGGATATCGGTTTTCATGTATATATATATATATATATATATATAACTCTATTACGGTAGTTAAACGGACCTGCCATAATTGCAGTACTTAAGCGGACGTCGTTCCTGTGTCCGTATCATTGTTTTTAAATACGTGCTTGGAGAGCGCGAGAGCCGTTGACAACTACGGGGAAAAAGAGTCAACACAATCCTCTCGATAAAAGATATAGAATTTTTGTCCGCTTAATTCGTCCACTTAATTCAGACCACCAAATGTTTTAGCCTATTTCGGCACTAAGCCGGACCCCTCTTATATGTCGCCCTGGATGTCTACATAAATGATGTTGCTTTTATTTTAATACGCATTTTAAAGCGTATGACCTCGCTTCAATTTCCGATGGATTCGAACCATTTAGCAATATTTATCACAAAAAATAGCATTTCTTTTTCAATGTTCCGTCTTTCGTGCAAGGGAGATGCACTGTGTTTGGTGTTGGAAATATTCTTCTATATCAAAAAATACTCAAAATGCAACGTGAAGGTAGACAAATCGAAACAAATTGATCCAAACGTGTTATATATTTGAAACTGAGAAATACACAGAGCATATCACAAATGTTCGCCTATTCCAACCCTATGGTGCAACATATAGATTAAACAGATGCTATGTTGTGAGTGTCAAGATATCAATACCAAGTCAAAATTATGGCATTCCAATAATATTGATACACAAAATATATCTCGAATGTCAACTTATCCGACCACCTAAGGGTGGCATACAACAATTGAAGAAAAAAATTCTTAAATAATATTGTGAAACATCACACAAAATATATCTCAAATGTCCACCTATCCGGCCACCTATGTGTGGCATACAAGAATTGAAATAAAAATTCTGAAATCATATTGATAAACATTACACAAAATATATCTCAAATGTCAACTTATCCGACCACCTAAGGGTGGCATACAACGATTGAAAAAAAAATTCCTAAATCATATTAAGAAACATCACACAAAATATATCTCAAATGTCCACCAATCCGGCCACCTAAGTGTGGCGTACAAGAATTGAAATAAAAATTCTGAAATCATATTGAGAAATATTACACAAAGTATGTCTCAAATGTCCACCTATCCGGCCACCTAAGTGTGGCGTACAAGAATTGAAATGGAAATTCTGAAATCATATTGAGGAACATTACACAAAGTATATCTCAAATGTCCACATATCCGGCCACCTAGGTGTGGCATTAAACATTAAAATGAAAATTCTTAAATCGTATTGAGAAACATCATGCGAAATATATCTCAAATGTCCACCTATCCGGCCACCTGAGTGTGGCATTAAACATTAAAATGAAAATTCTGAAATCATATTGAGAACATTACACGAAGTATATCTCGAATG